AGTCAGTCCTTCCCTAGAAATTTTTTTTTTACTTTTAAAGATATATTTATCGTATAATGTCTTGTCAATATTCATTTTGTTTCAGGTTTTCAAAATTGTCTCATAAATGCTTTTTTATGGGTGGTTTGTTCAAATTGTGATCCAAAGTCCACATGCTGTATTTGGTTTAGATGTTTATTATCAACCAAAGTCTCTTTTAATCTTTGTTCCCGTTTTCTCTCTTTTTCTTCTCCTTGCTGTGTATTTGTTGAAAAAATCAGTTAATTAATCTTCTCCCTCTTATTTTTAGCATACAAGAACAATTAATTGTGCTAATCAAATAAAACAACGCACAACCTGATTTACATTTATTAAAATGAATATTCATTTCTGTGCTGTGGATTAATTAGACAAAAAAAGTAGACTGCCTACATAAATGACTGTATTAATTAAGGCTATTTTAGTAATAGAAACCAATTTTGAACTAGCTTTAGCAGAAAGGGGTTAGTGAAGGTTACTAGGCTAGCATCAAGGGATGCACTGCAGTTACCACCACTCCAAGCATCTTCCAGGCTGATATTAGGCTTCAGCTCTCTCTGTCTGCCTCTCAGGGATTTCCATGTAGCAGGGGCTGTGGTCAGTGGTAGTTCTGGGGTTATCCTTTCTTTTCTAACTTGTCACTTATTTGTTGAAGCAATCAGGCATTAGTCTGGATTATGCTGGTTGCATCCAAGGGGTGTTGTTTAATATGTTTTCCTATCCCCTTTATTTCTTGTGAACTGGTAGTTTACACCGTTACTTTTTTAAAAGTGTTTTTGTTTATTGTTGTAGTTTAAGTCAAAGTTTACATTTCAAGTTAGTTTTTCATATAAAAATTTATACGTACATTGTTATGTGACCCTAATTGCTCTTCCTGTACTGTGACAGCACACTCCTCCTTCCCACCCCTGATTTCCCACATTCATTCAACCAGCTCCTAACCCTCTCTGCCTTCTCATCTCACCTCTGGACAGAAGCTGCCCATTTAGTCTCATGTATATACTTGAGCTAAGAAGCACACTCTTCAGGAGTATCATTTTATGTTCCACAGTCCAGTCCAATCTTTGTCTGAAGAGTTGGCCTCAGGAATTGTTTTAGTTCGGGGTTGACAGAGAGTCCGGGGGCCATGCTTTCCGGGGTTCCTCCAGTCTCAGTTAGACCATTAAGTCTGGTCTTTTTACTAGAATCTGAGTCTGCACCCCACCTTTCCCCTGCTCCATCAGGAACTTTCTGTTGTGTTCCCTGTCACCTTCCCTAGAAATTTTGAAGAGGTTTTCCTTCCTGTCTTTATCACTTTACAGTACCTGGTAAGGCAGCTGGTGTTCCTGCTGTGCTGGGAAATTTCATCTATGGTCTTTCTTGTATCATCTGAATGTCTCCTGGTCCCTGTCTTTCCATTTTATATTTGATCAGGACTGTAATGGTTAATTTTATTTGTCAATTTGGCTAGGCTACGGTGGCCAGTAGTTTGGGAAAACACTAATCTAGATGTTGCTATGAAAGTATTCACATGTGATTCAAATTTAAAGCAGTTGACCTTAAGTAAAGCAGATTACTCTCCATAATATGGGTAAGTCTCATCCAATTAGTTGAAGGCCTTAAGTTTTGCTAAAACTGAGGTTTCCCAAGGAAGAAAGATTCTGCCAAGGCTGTTAGACAGCCTGCTGGGATTTCCAGCCAGCTGCTTGGTCTACCGATTTCAGACACAAGACTGTCAGAATTTCCAGCCTGTTGCCTTGCCAGCGCTGATTGTGTGCGCCAACTTCTTAAAATAAATCTCTCTCTCTCTCTGCTGTGTTAGTTGCCATCAAGTTGGCCGCCAACTCATGGAGAGCCCATGCAAAATGGGATTGGACCATTGTGATCCATAGGGTTTTCAATAGCTGATTTTTCAGAAGTAGATCTCCAGGCCTTTCTTCCTAGTCCATCTTAGTCTGGAAGCTCTGCTGAAACCTGTTCAGCATCATAGCAACACACAATCCACCACTGACGGATGGTTGCTGCACATGAGGTGCATTGGCCAGGTATGGAACCTGGGTCTCCTGCAAGAATTCTACCACTGAACCACCAATGCCTCACTCCTTAACTATAAAAGGGAGTTATCACATGGTCATTGTGAGGATTAAATGAGATAACAAATGAAGTACTAGCACAATGCCAGGCACATAGTGTGATGTTATGTGCTGTTGAGTAGATTTCAATTCACAGTGACTCTATGAGTAGAACTGCCCCATAGGGTATTCTAAGACTGTAATCTTTATGGGAGCAGATCACCAGGTCTTTTCTCTTGCAAAGCAGCTGGTGGGTTCAAACTGCCAACCTCTGTGTTAGCAGCCGAGCACTTAACCATTGTGCTACCAGGGGTCCTTTATGCCAAAAAAAAAATACCGCTGCCGTCAAGTCCGACTCATAGCAACCCTACGGGACAGCGTGGAGGGTCCTTCAGAGTGGGTAGCAATTACTGTTATCCAAGGAGACTGGGCATATGGTTGACCTCTTTAGAGAATAAAGTACTGTCTGATAAGAAGAGACCCACCAATGATGGCCCAGTTTGAGACGCAAAGTCAAATTATCCATAGTTCAGAGTAGCTGCTCCTTTTTAGCCTCCTTTGCTCCTTCCTCCTTTTCCCTGGAACCTTTGAGTAGTGGTGTGCCCCAGGACTCAGGACTGAAACTCTGCTTTCCTGTCTACACTCATTCCCTCATTCCCTTGTCATCTCATCCAGGCCCATGACTTTAGGTGCCTCTCTAGTTCTGAACAGAGCCTGGTGGCATAGTGGTTAAGAGCTGAGCTACTAACCAAAAGGTCGGCAGTTCGAATTCACGAGCCGCTCCTTGAAAACCCTATGGGATAGTTCTGCTCTGTCCTACAGGGTCCCTATGAGTCAAAATGGACTTGATAGCAATGGGTTTGGTTTTTTGTTTTTGCTTCTGGTTCTGAACAGAGGAATGTCATAACCTGACTTCCATGTTAACAGAATCCCTCTGCCTATTGTGTGGAGAATAAACTACTAAAGGTGGGGAAGGGCAGAAGCAGGGCAGTTGGTTAGGAGGCCGTTGCAGTAATCCAGCCATAGGAGGATGGTGGTTGGACCAGCACGGCCACAGTGAAAACAAGAAACATGTTGGACTGGGATGAGAGAAGAGAGGGAAAAATGCAGGAGGAGCAGTTTTGATGGGAAGGGCAGGAGCTCAAGTTTTTTGATGCCTAGTAGACAAGTGAGATGTGGAGTTGGCAGCTGGATGCATCAGTCTGGAGTTCAGGGGAAAGGCTGTAATCTTTACGGAAGCCAGTTTCTCCTGTGGAGGGACTGGTGGGTTCGAACTGCAGATCTTTTGGTTAGCAGCCAAGCGCTTAACCACTGCACCACCAGGCCTCTTTTTTTCCTCCCTCCTTAGAGAAATCAGAGGAGCCCTAGTGGCACAGTGGTTAAGTATTCACCTGCTAACCAAAAGGTCGGCAGTTTGAACCTACCAGCCGCTTCACAGGAGAATTATGTGGCAGTCTGCTTCTGTAAATAAAGATTTACAGCCTTGGAAACTCTATGGGGCGGTTCTACTCTGTCCTATAGGGTCACTATGAGTCAGAATCGACTGGACGGCAGCGGGTTTTTGGTTTGGTACAGAAATCAAACTCATCTCAGCAGCTTACAAGGCACTCTTTGACGTCATCTCCTCCCACTCTTCCCCTGAAACAACTCTGTTTTAGACCCTCAACACTGTTTCAGACTCTTCATTGTTCCTGGAAAACTCCAGACACGTTCACAATGCCTTTTGCCATTGCTGTTCTTCTTTCTCCAGATATTCCAATAGCATGGTCCCTCATCATCTTTAGGTCTTTACTCTAAGATCTCCTCTTTAAGGCCTTCACTGACCACTCAAAGTTACAACTTTCTCCAGAGCTCTTCACTCCCTTAGCCTGCCTGATTTTTCTCTGTAGTACTTACCACCACCAGATAGGCTGTATATCTTGATTAGTTTATTTACTGTCTCACTAACCACTCCCACCTCCATCTCTACTACGACAGCAAAGTTTATTACAAGATGCCTGAAAAGTGAGAAGGTAACTAAAGACTACTCAATCCAGCAACCTCCTTTCTCTACAGATAAAGTCTGCTTTACGGGCTGGAATGTTTTATGGGCTTCTCTTGCAGTATACTTCTTTGAACTCATGATGTTGAATTTAGACCATAAAATCAGTTTACCTTCCCTGAGGGCCTACTGATAGGTACACCAGGTGGCCAGCACCAGCAAGCCTTTCCACAGTGTAGCAAATCCAGCAGGGAGCTTGAAGCTGGCCGTTTGAGCAACATTAGCTGAAAGGAGATGCTGAAAGTGAGCTACAAACTGAAAACTATGGCTGTCCCATTTTCCTCGAGATTGATGATTTGCAGTTTTCTTCCTGCTCCTCTGTGCCCTTTAACACAGATGCTGTTCGCCTGGTATTCTTGAACTGGGGATACCTAACTTAGAAACTTGTCAGAGAAAAAGGGGACACGTCTCCCATACTTTTCTTAGTTCAGGTTCTTCTCTCGCATTTCTCCGAGGGTTTCAGTGGAGGGTTCAGCTCCTTGGGATTGGGGGGCCGGAAGCCATGCCCTCCTGGGGCGCAGAGCTAGTAGCCCCGCCCACTGACGGCTTTGCCATGAGGCGGCTCCCTTCCGTTACCCTCACACTAACGGACAATAAGGAGGCTTCAAGCTAGGCAGGCCAGTGTTGTACCCGCACACTTACCGGGGGCCGAACCTCTAGCAGGCTAACCCACCAAAAGACTCCATGCCTTGCTCAACACTGATCAGCACTATGGAAGATAAGCGGCTGCAGGGTAGAGGCCAACCACAACCCCCAGCAAGCTCCGGGGACCGGGGCGGGGCGCCCTCCTATTGGACAGCGGCGAGCAACAGGCCCTCAATGCCCCACCCTTAAAGCCAAGCCCGCCCCGCGAGCGCGGGGCACGGCGGGATTGGAGTCGATCTGACGGACGGACGGCTGGACTCCATCTCCCAGCGGGCTGAGCGCGAAAGGCGGCGGCGCAGCGCCTTTGTGGCGGTAGCGGCCCGGCGCGGAGGAAGTTCCGGTCTCCGCGGCGCTGGATCGGTGGCGGTGGCTGAAGAGAGGGAGGAGTGGGCCCGGGGGCTGCTCTTCCTCGGTAAGGGCCCGGGGCAGGGGAGAGGGCGTGTCAGGATCTACGGGGGAAGAGCCTGCTGGCCGGGTTGCTGTTAACATCGAAGGCCTGCGAGGCCTGGAAGCTGCGGCGCGACGGAGGAGGCGCGGCTTCGCCGTCGCGGGGCGGCCGCGGCCTCGCTCGGGAAGAAGAGAGCCAAGCGCCGGTGTGATGTGGGAGGCGCGGCTCGCAGGAGGAACGCCCCGGAACGGTCACGGGCCCTGGGCGGGGCTCGGCGGGGCGGTAGAATTACCCGCCTGGCCGCGGGGCGTCCAACCGCGGGGTTGGGGGCGGCGCGTGGTTGTGGCTCGGTGCTCCCGGTGTGCAGAGTCGCAGGCGCCCCCGTCTTCCTCTTTTTTTTCTCCGGAGACTTGGGGAAACGACAGGCTTTGTATCCCACACTTGGTGCTTTTGCAGGAATCTGATCCAGTTCTGAGGCGTAGCTCGAGAGGAAGCCCTTTTTGGATTTAGCACATAGCCTCAACCTCAGGGCCGGACATACACGAGTAGACTTGGCCAGACCGGAGGGCGCGAGAGCTCAGAGTCGGATCCACCGAACGATAGAACCTGGAGGTGGAGGAGCGGTCTGGTGGGTTCTGCGCCGTTGGGCAGATGTAGGAGGAGAGGGGTGTTGCTTTGTATTCACGCTTTAAATTCCTTTTGGCGTTGCCAATCTGTTTTTTTTTTTTTTTAACTTGAGCATTGATGTGCAGTTGAATTCAACTCTGGGAAAACATCGTTTAAAGAAAGGGTACTGTATTGTAGGGCATATAAACTTTAAGGGTAACTGTATTTTTCGCATATTGCAGGTTTGCTTTTGAGGGTCAGAGTTGCTGGATCTAAGTGAAGGAGTTCAGTAGACTCCGAGGCACCTGGTCAATTGGTTCACTTTTCTGAACTCTGGATTGTGTCCTAGGTTTGTTAGTTTCCAGCTTCCTGTTGAGTAATGCCACGTGTGAATGATTTCATTATGTCACCCTTAGCAAACTTTGAGGACTGTAGAGAAAGGTATCAACAACTGGTGAATGGTAGGGTTGACAGTGTCAGAACTTACTGATGATATACTACCGTTTTGAAACACAGAAGTTGGACCTGAATGTTGTCTTCATATCTGTTACCTGAGTACCTAACCTGAAGAATAGGTACCAGATGTCTCTTCCTGGACAGTTGTAGCACTCTTCCTTGTAGAATTCTGTTACCAGCCTTGGGTTTTTGTTGTCTTTAGGATCTTAGGTTCTTGTAGCCTTTCAGAGAAAGGAGAATTGTCGGGGGGGGAGGTTATTAAACATTCCCATCTTGTGGCAGACACTTGGGCTAGTTATATTCTTCTGCCACCATATTTAAGGAGCCATGGTGGTGCAGTGGTTAAGCGCTCAGTTGCTAACTGAAAGCTTGGAACCCACCAGCTGCTGCACAGTAAAGATGTGGCAGTCTGCTTCCATAAAGATTACAGCGTTGGAAACCCTATGAGGCAGTTCTACTCTGTCCTAGAGGATTGGCTATGAGTCGGAATGGACTTGACCGCAGTCGGGGCCACCATATTTAAATATATGAACTGATGTTGTTAATCTGATTCAGAGTTGTATTAAGATTTAAACTACGGAAAAGCTGTGAAATTGTAAAGGTCATACATTGATCTTTGATGGAATATTCAAGCTATATACCAAGCGCTTAGAATTATTTTTTTCTGGTAGGCTCCCACAACACATTGTTCTTATTGTTCATTTAGTTAACAAGTATCCTTTGAGTGCCTTTTATAACTCTCCTATCACTCTGTGAAATTCTGTATAGCAGAGTAGATAACTGTAGAGGCTCTGGAATCTGTGAAAGAGTTTGCATTCCTGCCTTCTCCACTCAGTGACATTGTACAAATTACAGGTAGTTCTTGACTTACTTCGGTGTTCCGTTCCTACACCTCTTCCGTCATAAGTCGGTTCTGATGTAAGTCGAATACCCCCCTTTTTTTTTTTTTGGATTTTCATTATCATTGCCTTTTATTACCAGTATTTGCAGTGTGACAGATCACTTTTATATGGTCTTTCTCAACATGATCTGGTAACTCCTACCAAATAATTGGGTGGGACAATGCAAATAAGGTGCTTATGGCCTACCAAGGGGATTGGACAGTTTGCTAATAATGCAAATAAGGTGCATGGCACCTTTGTGGGGTTGGGACCATGCAAATAAGGTGTATGGAACCCTACTGAGGGGACTGGTCAGTTTTGTCATCCTACTAGACTTAAAATAAGCTATCCTTGAGGCAGAAAAGGAGGACCTCACTACCACCAAGAAGATGCAGGGGTGGAGTACATCCTCTGGACCCAAGATCCCAGCACTGAGAATCTCCTAGACCCAGGAGACAGAGCTGTAACACCAGAGACAGTGAGAAGTGGTGGCAGAGAAACAACAGCAGCAGAACCAGGAGACCAGTGTGAGATGGTATGGTGGGCTTCCTGGCCCATGTGGCAAGGCGGCTACAGTGGGTGAGCAAGGTAGCTGGGTGCTTTGGGGCTGAGGCTTACTGGTGGAGTCAGGTGCATCAAGGCACTTACTGGCAGAGCTAAAGAGCTTTGTAACACTTGCTGGAGCAGGGCAGAGGCCAGGCTGAGGGGCCGAAGGCCACAGAGAGGGCTGCATACAGGCATGGTCAAGAAGCTGTCCTGATTGGAAAACTGTATCCTGAGTCGTTCCTAATCCTGAATTGTAACTGTTACTTCTGTAATAAACCCCATAATATTAAGTGTTGTTTGTGAGTTCTGTGTGGCCATTGCAACGAGTTAATCAAACCCAGCAGAGGAGTAGAGAGTGCCATGGTAGGGATGGCTGGTGTTAGAATTGGTGAAAAGATTGGAGAGAGGAGTTATGTTTGACCTCTGCCTCATAGCAGTCAGCCTTGGGCTGTTCATGCTGATGGTGATTTTCCCCCTTGGTGAAGTTAGAGGAGGTCAGATGCCTCTGTGCCATTTTTGCAGTGTCTTTATAAATCCAATCTTTGTCTTTGGTGGTTGGAAACATTACATCTGAGAATGATAATATCAGCAAGTTATTCACTGCAACATTGTATGTAGTACATATTACTAACAATAAGATGTACCAAAAAAACCCAAAAACTGGCAGTCGTAAGTGTGGGTTCATTGTAACTCGAATATGTCATAACTCGAATGTATTGTAAGTGGGGGACTACCTGTACCCTATCTCTCTGAGACTCAATTTCTTTATCTGTGAAATGAGGTTAGAAATGCAGCAACCTCATAGCTTGGTGAAGTGTACGTAATAAAAGTAATACCCTTAGAACAGTGCCTAGTGTGCAGAAGATGTTTGTTAAAGGTTGTTTTTGTTAGTTGCCGTTGAATTGGCTCCGATTCACGGTGACCTTATGTATAATAAAGGTCACCTAAATGTTGCCATTACTATTAATTTTATTACTTTTTATGTCCACAACCTCTCTCATTAATAAGTAACTCACCGAGGTCAGGGACTGTTGCTTATTCATCTTTGTTTTACCACCAGCAAGCTCTATACCTGGCGTATGTGTGGGCATCGAATATAGTTTGAATTGGCACAGGACATTTTTCCCCTCTGTTATAAATACTGCATTGTAAAACAGTGAAGTTGTATAGTAGTGCATTATACTCTTGTTTTCACTGCTCGCTGTTAGATAAGTGGGGACAATTTTATTCCTCCTTAATCAAGGCCTGTCTCACAAACTCCACCCTCCAGGCTTTTCTGACTCCTTTCTCTGACACTCCAAACTGGACACTCCCAGTTCCTCAACTCCATTGTCTTCTTTTTTTTTTCCCCCTCCTCTTGTAGCACTCAAGTAAGTTGAATACTTCTTTCCCTTACTCTGGGGTCGCTATGAGCCACAGTCGTCTCGACGGCAATGGATTTGGTTTTTGGTTTTACTAGGTAATAAGCCCCTCAAGGGCAGGGTCTGATTTCTTTTCTTACCATCTAGTGCTTTACTCATGAGATCCTCCGTGTGATTTAATTGCCTCACAAGCTGGGGTCTGTGCTCCTGGCATGAGCTAGTGCTGAAATCATGGGTTCGGCAAAGAAGGGCATTACTGCTGCAGCATCCTGAATAATAATTTTTTTTTTTTGTACTTTATATGTAGGTTTACAGAGCAGACTAGTTTCTCAGTAAACAATACATGTATTGTTTTGTAACATTGGTTGCCAATCCCACGACATGTCAATACGCTCCCCTTCTCGACCTTGGGTTCCCCATTACCAGCTTTCGTGTCCCATTCTGCCTTCTTGTTCTTGCCCCTGGGCTGGTGTGGCCATTTAGTCTTGTTTTGTTTTATGGGCCTGTCTAATCTTTGGCTGAAGAGTGAACCTCAGGAGTGACTTCGTTATTGAGCTGTAAGGGTGTCCGGGGCTAATACTCTTTCTTCAGTCTCTGTCAGACCCGTAAGTCTGGTCTTTTTGTTTTTGAGTTAGAATTTTGTTCTATATTTTTCTCCAGGTCTGTCCAGGACCCTGTCAGAACAGTCGGTGGTGGTAGCCAGGCACCATGTAGTTGTGCTGGACTCAGTCTGGTGGAGACTGTGGTTCTTGTGGTCCATTAGTCCTTTAGACTAATATTTCCCTTGTGTCTTTGGTTTTCTTCATTCTCCCTTGCTCCAGATGGGGTGAGACCTGAATAATCTTTATCATGAACAGGAGATTATTCCTTTGCTATTGTTTATTCATTTGTGAATTATTTCTTGTGATAACTGCAGAATATAGACTTTTAGGGAATTGGTGCCAGTGGGTAGAAAATATATTTTCTTACCTATAAACATGTTTTCTGTTGCTAAAATAATTAATTTGGAGCGTTGATTCCCCTCCCCCCCGCCCCCGGAACTAAAAGATCAGTTCTGAGATTACTATTTAAAATAAGTCAAGGGTATTCAGCAGAGTAAATAAGGGCTCCTGCAGTTTAATATTGTTAAAATAGAAGAAAAATGTGTTAAGTGGTTTGATCAAGTTCTGGCCCC